TCTCCTCATCTTCTTCCTCCTCTTCCTCCTCCTCCTCTTCTTCTGCTTCTTTAATTGGTGTGAAATGATGGATAGTTTCGACTGCAAGGTAGCTCAGAAAGTCTTAGGAGGTATGTGGCTTCCCACTTCCACATTTAGGGTAGCTTGTGACTTGTTTGCCAAAGGTCCTGGTAGCCTTCAGTCTGTCAAAATGCTGCAAGCTGAGAGCCCTTTGCCAAAGCAAACTCTCCAAATGAAATAACCCAGGAGCCTCACACAGACACATACACGAGCTCCCATTCCCTAGCAGTTATCTGGAACTGGGTCAGGAGGAGCAGGGGTTTGTGCTGGGTTCTCCTGTGTTTGGAAGAAGTGTGGGCGCAGGGACAGACTATCAATTAGTGAGGTATGTGTGAGCAGAGTTAGGTAGCCCAAGACAGCCTCCGCTGAGCAGAGGTGGAAACCATCAGCTTTTGGCAGAGCTTCCTCTGGCCCCTGGGGTTATATATTGCTGTTATTGCAGCCCAAAGAATAATGTCCCCTCTGGGGGAATTTATTTTATTCCATTCAGAGCAGAACCCATTTAATAGCTAAGATTTTTATCCCAGAATGATTTTGTTGGGGATTCCTATGTGTTTGAGCTTCACCAGGGCCCAGCTAGGGAAGAGACGAGACACATGTTGAACCTTTGCACTGAGACAAATCAGCAAATATCTCTCTTGAAAATCTGGTGAAATTTGGGCTGGGTGTAACATAGAGAAATTATTTAAAAAAAAAAACCTTTTAATGAAAGAATGTTTACAAAAGAACACTTAGAAGCTTCAGAAATTATTTTGAACATTATAAAATCTGTTCATTCCCATCAGTTCCATCTGTCTAAAAGTTCAGAGGTAATTAGGATGGAGAGGCACCATTCACTCATTCAAGGTACTGTTCATTAGTTCCATGCACCATTCATTAATTCATCGTGTTATTCATTAATTCAATGTACCAAGCACTCTCTGTATCTAGGTATTCTGCTAGGTACAGGAGATAAGACGAGGACAAATTAATGCCCTCCACAACTTAATGCTACAATCTACGCATGAGTTTGTACGCTTGGTGTATCTGTGTGTGTGTGTGTGTGTGTGTGTGTGTGTGTGTGTGTGTGTGTGTGTAGAGGTGTATGCTTGCATGTGGGTGGAGGTGCATGTAGCTATATACGGTATGGATGGTTGTAGTTTGCATGCCAGAGGACAACCTTAGGTATTTTTTTGAAAATGTCATCCACCCATTCCTTATTTCTTTTTTTTTTTTTTTTTTTTTTTGAGAAAATGTTAAATGTTTCTCACTGGCCTGGAGCTCACTGAGTCTGCTAGGCTAGCCTGTCTGTCGCTGTTTCCTCAGACCTGTGGCATTCCATGGGAGAGATGTCACACCTGGCTGGGCTTGAACTCAGGTCTTGTGCTATGCAGTCAGCACTTTCTTCACTGTGCTCTCTCCACAGCCTTGTGGTACTTTCTAATGGGAGGAGAGAGACATGTAAATGTTACAAGAGTCATTTGGGGGAAAGGAAGCAGTCTTGGCTGGAAGATGGAGTAGTTCTAGGCAGTAAGGACAAAGTCTCATGTGACACAAAAGCTAAGCAGAGGCTGAGGAGCTGAGGGAAGAGGAAAACTGACAGGCAAGGCGGAGTAAGTTCTTCTGAGACAGGAAAACTTAACCTTCTCCCTCTCCTGCTCTGCCCCTTGAATGTCCCAGCACAGTCTGGAATCAGTGGTTATGCAGAACTGCTCCTGGTGGCACTACAAGTGTGTGGCCACTCTGTGAGGGCCTCTGGGGGCTGAGGTATGGCACGGTTATGGAGCGGCTGTTTGTGTTTGTAATGGAGCCCAATCTGGTTTTCTTTGAAAAAAGTAAGCACTGCCAGGCTCGGTTAGAAATTATGCTGATTTGTAGGCACAGGTTCAAAATGTATGTTTTTAAGCATTAGTTTGATTAAGGTGTCCTGGGAAGGCTACATTATCCCCATTTACAGATTTGGCAACTGAGGCATAGAAAGGTGATCAACCAAGGTCATGCCACCTGGGATGTGTACTCTCCAGCTAAGGTGTGTGCCTTTTTGATTTCTGGAATAAACAGTCTAGTGGGGTTAGAGGTAGCATCTTCACTCCACTGCCTGGGAGCCAGTCTCCAGATGTTCCTCCCTGTCACCGGAGCACACGTTGGTGGCTTTTTTGGTCCACTGCCGTTTTACCCTAAGATTCATTTTGTGTATATATGTGTGAGGATATAAAGGTGCCATTGCTTAGGAACTGTTTGCCTTACTTTGAATAGTGATTCTCAGCGAGCTGGAGATTGCCATTTCAGCTAGGCTAGCTACCCAGAAAATCCTCAGGACCGCCTGCCTCTACCTTTCTAGTACTGGAATTTCAAGTCTGTGCTACTCAGCCTACAGAATGGGAAAAGATTTTTTTTAACCAACTACACAGGAAATAAAGGGATAATATCCAAAAAATATAAGGCACTCAAGAAACTAGATATGAAGAAAACAAATAACCCAGTTAAATAATGAGGTACAGGTCTAAATAGAGAATTCTCAAAAGAGGTAACTCAAATGGCTGAGAAACACTTACAGGAATGTTCCACATCTTTAGCCCTCAGGGAATGCAAATCAAAACTACGTTGAGATCTCATCTTACACCTGTCAAAATGCCTAAGATCAACAAGAAACGTGACATCTCGTGCTGGTGAGGATGTGTGGAGTCAGAGAAACCCTCCTCCCTGGCTGGTGGAGTGCAGACTTGCACAGCCACTGTGGAAATCAGTGTGGCAGTTCCTTTGGAAGATGAGAATCAATCTCCTTCAAGATCCAGCTCTGCCACTCGCTGTATACCCAAAGGATGCTTCGTCCACCTCAGAGACATTTGCTCAGCCATGTTCACTGTCATGGTCATAATATCCAGAAACAGGAAATAACTGAGATGTCCCCCAGCAGATGAATGGATAAAGAAAATGTGGCATGTTTGCACAATGGAGCACTACTCAGACATTAAAAAATGACATCATAAAAGTTGCAGGCAAATGTATGGAAATAGAAAAAAAAAAAAGGCTGGTCGAGTAAATGAAATCAGTGTGTGTCAGAGGGCATCTCTGGGATTGGGAGGCTTCCGGGAGTTTATAGGGGGTGACCCCTTCTACCAGCAGGGGGATATGGAGCCTGAAGAGGCCACCTCCTGTAGCCAGGCAGGACTTCTAGTGGAAGGAGGGGGGCACCAACCCACCCACAGAACCTTGTGACCCAAAATTTGTCCTGCCTACAAATAGCGCAGAGACAAAGATGGAGCAGAGATTAAAGGAATGGCCAACTAATGACTGGCCCAACCTGAGGCCCACCCCAAGGGGGAGAGCCAACCCCTGACAGGACACTACTAATGATACTCTGCTGTGCTTGCGGACAGGAGCCTAGCATAGCTGTCCTCTGAGAGGGCCGCCCCGCAGAGGAGGGAAACAGAGGCGGAGACCCACAGCCCGCAATAGGCTGACCTCTGGGAGTCTGTGGAAGAGCTGGGGGAAAGGACTGAGGGAGCCCAAGGGGTCAAGGACAACACAGGAAGACCCGCCGAGTAAACTAACCTGGGCCCATGGGGTAGTCACAGAGACTGAAGCACCCAGCGAAGAGCGTGCACGGCTGGACGTAGATCCCGTACACACATTAGCAAATGTGCAGCTCGTTCTTCCTGTGGGGCTCCTAACAGTCGGAGCAGGGGCTGTCTCTGACTCGGTTGCCTTTGTGGGGTGCTTGAGCTGCCTTGGCTGGCCTCAGGGGTAGAGGATGCGCTTAGCCCTGCCAGGACTTGGTGTGCCAGGCTGGGTTGGGACCCATGGGGTACCTCCCCTCGTCTGAGGATAAGGGGGTGGGGGAATGGTGGAGGAGGTGTGAAGGTGGGACTAGGAGGAGGGGGAGGAGGGGATTGCGATTGGCTGTAAAGTCAATAAAAAGGTGAAAAAGTAGCCCATCCTGTAGCAAAGAGAGCTGCAAGAACTGAAAGAAAAACAAGTGTCTCTGGGAAAGGACCTGGGGTGAGGTTTTTTCTAGCATCTATAGTGTTAACACTACTAATACTTAACACGATTACTTAATTAAAAACATATTGGCGCACAGTCTTAGGTGTTATTCCTCAGCTGCTGTACCCCCTTTTCAGACAAGGTTGCTCACTGGAACTCCCTGAGTAGCCGCTACCCCTGGCTTTTTGTTAAAGTGTACTTCTAAGGACGACACTCAGCTCCTTGTCAGTGACAAGCACTTTCCTGCCTGTGCCATCTCTCCAGCCCTCGTTTCTCCTCTGACTTATTACCTATGTATTCCCCGTCCCCCATATCCTCCTACCTCCCCCACCCCCGTCACATAGCATGGTCTTCACAGAAGATGAGGATATTTGTTGCTTGGAGACACCAGCTTGTCCAGGGTCACCCAGCTGGGACTGGAGGATTGGGATCCATGCCTAGATGTATCTGCAACCAGGGCTTCATCCTGCTTTCTATTGCCTCTGCCCCCCCCCCCCCCCGCCCAATATCGGCCTTTTACTTAAAATGACAAGTTCTAGGCAGGGCTGGTGAGAGTGCGGCTTAAGGTAGCTACTCCCACCCATGAAGAATGTGTGCTACCAAAAGGCCAGCCAAGGCTGCTAGAACCCTAGGCTGAGCTCATTACCCTGCCAACCAGCACACGCTCGCACGTGCTGTGTTCTGTGTGCCGGACGGCAGCCATCTTACTCAGCCTCCTCCACTCCTTTGAGCCAACTTAGGGGTGACTGAGGCTTCTAGAAGGTGCCTCGGACCTACTAATGCTGCCAGGAGGTAGCAGGCCAGGGATTTGACCCCACTTCTGCCTCCGAGTCATGGCCTTCCCTGGCATGGGGTTGTTTCCTTTTCCTGTGGGCTGACCTCTCCCTTCCAGCAACGAGCTGGCCATGCTGTCTACCTTCAGGTACTGCTAGGTCATACTCTCATCCCTGCCTGTTGCTCTTTTTCTCTCCTAGTGCCCTGGGCACCCTCCTGCTGCTTGGTTTTCAGCTTGTCTGCCCGCAGCCCTCCACCGAACACAGAAAGGTAAGTTGCGGCCACTCACAGAGCCATATGCTTCTCTGCCGGAGGGAGTGGGGCCACCATGACCACCGCCCTTCTCTCTGTTCTGCCTGGAGGTTAGTCCCAGCTGGTGCTGAGCAGCACTGTTTCTAGAATAGTCAGCAGTCTTTCCGTCTTTTCAGGTTCCTGGAACTCAATCTGAAGCCCGTGTTCAGATCCAGGCTCTGATCTGTGTCCCAGAGTTGCAGGCAGAGGCAACTCAGAGGTGGGGAGCACCTGCCAGAGCTGGTGCCTGTGTAGACACACCTTCAAGGCAGTATGGAGCTGGAATCCCTGATAGAAGGACCCAGTCTCGCTGCCAGGGAGGGAGGGAGGGAGGGAGGGAGGGAGGGAGGGAGGGAGGGAGGAAGGAAGGAAGGAAGGAAGGAAGGAAGGAAGGAAGGAAGGAAGGAAGGAAGGGAGGACGGACCTGGCTTTTTGTCACCCTGCACCATCTCCTGTTGATGCTTCCCTTTGGATTAGTGCAGAGCAGTGGTTCTCAGCCTGTGCGTTCATATATTGTATATCTGCATATCAAACATTTATATCACTATTCATAACAGTAACAAAAATACAGTCACGAAGTAGCAACAAAAATAATTTTATTGTTGGGGGTCACCGCAGCATGAGGAACTGCATTAAAGGGTCGCAGCGTTAGAAAGGTTGAGAACCACTGCTCTAGGCAGTTGACAAGAGCCCTTGAGTTCATTCCCTAGAGGCCAGCTTCCTGGGCCCACAGAACATGAAGAACGTGCTTCCCCTCGAGCTCCTCCTGTCTCATGTATCTGAGCCAGCCTGGCGCTGCTTGGCCGTGGAGCGGAGGCTGGCTCCGGCAGTGCCTCCTGAGCAGTAGTCTCGCGATTCTTGGACAGAGGCCCTTATGGCCCCGTCTGCGCCCTGGGTCCTGAGAGGAGAGTAGCCTTGTGTTGATGTGGGTGGGAGCTGGTTGGAGCCTTTGCTAAGAGGGTCTCCGCAGGAGAAGTTCAGAAGCAAAGGTGGACGGAGAAAGGAACGTGTACAAAGCTCTGCCTAGCAGTCCTTGGTGTTCTCATCTATTTTCCAGTTTCTTTTAGATCCGGGGGTTGTGCTCTGTTTTTCTGGACCAGATGGAGGCCTCTACGGCACCTTGTCCCCCACTGGCGAGTCAGCCCCATGAGTGTGGTTCTCACGCACTGCCCCAACTCTAGAGTAGAGCCCGGCACAGTCAGGGGCTGTTCAACGACTAAAGGAATGAGTGGGACCTGGCCAAGGCACAAACATCATTTTGCCAGATTGATTTGGGAATTTATAGCCTCTCACTCTAGTGTCTCACCTCATCCCCGCCATCATTTCCTTCCTTCCCTTCCCTGCCCTGCCCTGCCAATTGTTGTAATACTTTCTATCTGGGCTACTTTCTATCCATAATTCCATAAATACTTGCTTATTCTCTCATCTGGGCCCTTCCTCCACCCATGCTGGACATGTGTTTCGCCCCATGCTAACCTGGGGGCTCTCCCTTCCTTTCTCTTCCTGTTTCCAGCCATAATTTCAATAAGTCGAAGATTTTTTAAAAAATTATTATTGTGCTCTCAATTATTAATGCTAGGTATCATTGGGATTAATAGTTGACTTGCCCTGATGGTGTTCTTTTTGTCGATACTCAAATATGTAATAACTAAAGATATTTTATAAATAATCCAGTTATTTTACCATCTCTTATCTTTTTTTTTACTTACATATTTTATTTTAAAGAGCCTCAGAGGATGTATAAAATTTAAGTTCTCATTAAATGATCTTTTTTATTTTTATTTTTTTATATTAATTACAGTTTATTTACTTTGTTTCCCAGCTGTAGCCCCCTCCCTCATTCCCTACCATTCCCACCCTCCTTTCCTCATCTCCTCCCTGCCCCTCCCTAAGTCCACAGAGGAGGACATTTAGGCCAGTCCTGATGAGACCTGATAAACTAGGGTCAGATGGAAGGGGAGGAGGACCTCCCCATCAGTGGTCTTTTGTCTTTTAAGATACTTGAATGATAAATATTGAATCTCAGGGTAAAAGGGTCCCAAATAGGTGTTATCTTCATTTTTCTTTTAAAAAAATTTTTGTTAAATGTGTGCTTGTATGGGTATGTGTGTGTGCCCGTGCGCATATGTGTGTGTGTGCCCGTGTGCATATGTGCGCGTGCAAACATGGTGTGCATGCTAAGGCACACGTACGAGAGTCAGCTGTCTCCTTCCACTGTGTTGAGCCTAGGGCTTGAACTCAGGCCCTCAGTCTTGGTAGAAAACACCTTTACCTGCTGAGTCGTCTTGTCCACCCCCTTCAGCTTTCTCAAAGGTTTTCTCTTTCCTGATAATAAAAAAGAAAGGTTTGTTAGCTGCTTTGCAGTGTTGAAGTTAAAACACTATGTAAAACGGTATCATAATATCTTGCTATATAGCACCTCCTTGGCAAAATATTATTAAGAACTTTGCAATTGAAGGCGAGGCTCAGCCCCTGCCCCTAACCTTTACAGGTTTCGTCGCTCAGTAGAAAGACACTTCAGAGCAGTTGCTCCACATAATAAACACATGTAACACATGTGTCTCGGCTGCCACGCTTCTTGTCCTTTGTCCAAGTAAAGAAGGCTTGTGGGCTTCCTTGGGCGCGAGGTTGCTTTTCGATGTTTTCTTAGAGCTTTGTGTGACTGTGGCTGTCATCCTGTGACCCCTCCAAACCTGGCAACCAAAGCAGAGCTGGCAGTAGCGGCATTCACTTAGGCCTGCAAGAGGAAGACGAAGGAAATGCTTCTTAACTGGGCCTGCAACACTGTGCCTATGAAGAGACAAGACTAAGGAAACGCTCATTGACTGGGCTGTGGCTATAAAGAGCTGTGTCTGGGCCATACTTTCTGTCACAATCATTTAACTCTTCCTGGTGGGGGAGGCAGCCAGAGGCACTGTGTCAATGAATAGTCATGGCTGCTTTCTTTACAAAAATAGGTGGTGAGCTGGATTTGGCTGGTGGGCTAAAGTTTGCTAACCTCTGCTCCAACGTCGCGATGAAAACGAATTAACTGGGGGCTGAGGATATAGTTCATTCAGTGGGGTGCCCGAGTTTGAAAAAGCCAGGCGTGATGGCTTACCATTGGGAGATGGAGATAGGGGTGGGGTGGGAATCCTGGGACTCCCCCACCAGCCATCACAGCCCACGTGGTGACCTCCAGATCAGCGAGAAATGGTGGGTGCCACCTGAGAACAGTGCCTGAGCTTTCTCTCTTTCCTGCGCGTGCCGCATACATGGAGCGGCGTTCGTGGGCACATAAATCCGCAGGAGCATGTGCACACAGGCATGCGCGCACACGCGTGTACACACGTGTATTCTGCAAGTTGACGGTGTAAATCGTCTCCTCCTAAGGACTTGGATGACACAAAGGAATTGGGAGAAAAATAGTATAGCTTTACATTAACGTGAGGTTTATAATTGCTACCCAGTTGCCTTCATTACATATACTCATAATCGAATTCTCACTGACTCACTCTTTTGAGGTAAAATTTGCTACTCCTGATCGTTAGTAGAGAGTGGCAGAAAAATTACAAACCCTCTAAGGTGGATTCTTTAGGGACAGAGCCATTAATTTGTGTGTATTATAGTCGACTGTGCATATAAAAGCCAGCTACCCAAAGGCTCTCTTTTCTTCCTTGTTACTGTGGCGTGTCCAACTTTAGCATATGGAAGTGTTTTCACAGCATAAGTTATTCCGACCAAGAGACATAATTTGTAAATGCTGTCAAGTAAACTATGCACGTCTCAGCGCCAATCGGGTGACTGGCTACATCTCTTTAGAACTGTCCTATATAATAACACAGGCAGAGGGGCCTGTGCAGAGCGCAAGTAGCTCTTTGCAGATGTTTCCATCCGAAGGCCTCTTACTCTGGCAGAATTAACAACCCCACCAAGGACTGTTCCCCTCTGGTCTCAGTAATTAATCGCTGGTTCTTGGCAGATGATGGAAGTTTTAAAAGTTTTTTTTTTCTTTCTTTCTTTTTTGTGTGGCTTTATTTGTGAAGAGGACAGGGTGAAAAAAACATGGCCAAGGCAAACTGTACCCAGGAAACTTATGGAATAATGTCATTTTATGTTAAATTTATTTATTTTGCGTATGTGTGGAAGACACGGGTACATACGTGCTTGTGTTTGGAAGCCAAAGGTTAACTTTGTGTGTTGTTATATCCTTTTTTTTCTTTTTTTTGAGCCAGCGATTCTCTCTGTCTGTTACTGATTTGGTAAGCTATCTGGCCAACGAGGCCCCAGGATCCTCCTCTCTCTGACTCTGAAGCAGCAGGATTACAAACACGTACCACCATGCCCAGCCTTACACAGGTGTCGGGTGCAAAGTCAGGTCCCCATATACATGCAGCGAGCGCTGCGGAAACCCAGCCGTCCGTCCTCCCAGCCCCAAGCACTGTGCCTTTCAGCCTCTAGACATGGACATGCAATTAATTTTAATTGCTCAATGGTTCTTAAGTTTATTTTTTAAATTTAAATTTCTCATTTACTATAGAAAATGTAGAAAGTGATGATAACTAGAAAAAGGAAATAAAAACTCAGTGCTAGGGCTGCTGGCCAAAGGAGGCCCGCTCCGCAGCCTGCTGTTTATAGAAACTTTCAAGCAAACAGAATGCAGACACTACAGACTGGAGTGAGGGAAGTAAAATATTTGCTTTGCTAACTGATAAGCAAGTCATGATGCAAGTAGGGTACCTTAAGATAGGTCATAGTCACCACTGAATTAATGGGTCGTGCAGCCAAGAACTTTTAGTACCCTCTCAACCATGTCGCCTGGTTCGATGCTGAACAGAAAGCCTGTGGAAGAGCAAAAAAGCTTTCAGTTACAGAAGACTACTTATATTATTGATGCTTAGAAATCAAATGCTTCTAGGAGTAATGTAGGAGGGTACGTTTGTGATTTTAAACACTTCAAAATAACCTACGCATCTGAGGGTATGACTCAGTGGTGGGGC